TAACAATTCAATAGGGAGGAGCAGAGCACTCCCCCTAGCCCTTTTAAACTCTTTCCTGTCCACTTGCTTGAAAAGGGGAATATCTAGAGAGCAGGGGCTGTACTCTGTACCAGATTCATACCCACATTCTGGGGAAGTCTTACTTGCTGAGCAGAGGGAAGGGCCTTCCTCCCTTGCTTGGCTGTGAAAAACAAGGACATAATCTAGCTCTAAATAAACTGCATATTAAGAAATGAATTTCCAACACAGTTTCTGAACATGCCAGTTTTTAAACATTTCAGAAAATATAAATCATCCTAGTGCCTGAGAGTGTGTTTATTTTACCACTACAACATCAGACTGGATCCCATGCTGAAAGTATGTGTTAAGAGGTCAGAAAATGCGGCTCACCATTGGAGTGCACAGGAAAGACAGATACTTTTTTAAACTCCACCTTCCATATATGCAAGGATAAGGCCTTTCCCTGTAGCCATACTGTAAGACCTTTGTCTGCAGCCATATTAGGAGAGCAGCAGCCAATGGCCAAGAAGCAAAAAGTCACATCCTCACATTCCATCTAAATTACATTAAAATAATGTAATATTGGGCTGTTAAGAAGGCAATCCTGTCCTAAAAGTAACACCATCACCAGATAAAGAAACAGATCTTAAGATGATTAAAGAAAACGTTGTTTGATAGCATTCTAGCATTCTGTCTGGCAAGAAATCACTTAACAGTTGTGATTGTAAGATCTATATTTCTATTGTTTTGCCTTGATAGTCCCTACTTCTCTGTTGTTTATCTGTATGGTTGCTGTCTAGTTCTTTGATTCTTTCTATCTATTGCATAAATAATTTTGCTAGTTGTAAATCAACCATGGTGGTGAAGTATAATTGGTTAAAGAATTGTTTTACAATATGTTAGGATTAGTTAGAAAATTTAGTAATATTTCAGTAAAATGATTGGTTAAGATACAGCTAAGCAAGACTCAAGGTTCACTATACAAACTGGAGTCCAAAAGAAAGTTTTTGGGAATCAACTCCAGAACACAGCCCCAAGATCAGAGCTGCCAGATCTCGCACCATGCAGAAGCTGGAGTCCCCCAGATGACCTGATCCTGACTGGCCAGCAGGAAAAGTTCATCTGTCTTATTGGGAGTGGTGAGCACTGTATGCTTAGTGTGTGCATTCTGTTTTGGTGATTGTTCATAAATAGAGGTTAAGTAGGATATTACTGTGTAAGGCTCTTTCACTGGTAAAAGACCCCGTAAACCTGAAAAAGATTAAGCCCTGAGGCCCTGAGTCCATAAGGAATGGGTGTTTGTTCTGAGTCCATAAGGAATTGGTGTTTACCCGGAGCCCACGGAGTACAGCCCGGAGCCCACGGAGGGGTAAAGTTAGATCTCTTTCTCCTGGAGCTCTAGTAACTGGGAAAGGATGGGGATGCCTAAATCAACTGGGTTGCGCCTTGAGCCCTAGGAACTAGGTAGAGGTGGAAGCCTTGAGCTCTAGGAACTAGGCAGAGGCGGGATGTCCTAGAGTGTGCGGGCAACAAAGTTAGAGTGAAGCTGGATGCCTTATACCCGGAGCCCCAGGAACTGGGAAAGGGTGGGCGTGCCTAGATTAACAGAGTTACGCCTTGAGCCCACAGAAGGGTAAAGGTGGGTGCCCTAGAGTGTGTGTAATAGAGAATTTTATGCGGGTAACACAGAAACACACATTGAAGTTTTAAACAATGGTTTAAAAATTAAATAATTATTTTTATAAAAAGTCAGCTTGCACCAAGCTTGAGTTTCTTGTTTTCTAATGCATTCAAATAGCAAGCTGTATTTCCTGTTGCTTATCCTATATGAGACAGTCAAAATGGCACCTCCCTACTTGATGAATGATTTGGTCTCTTACTATGCTTCCATTTTAAACTGTAACTAGCAAGTGAGAAAGGGAGGAAGAAGAATAAACTGCACTCAGTGCTGCATCAGCTATTTATCTTTTAAGCACTGAGTTCCTCCTTTCATTTTAACGTTTTTGAAGCTACTGTTGCTTTCTGGCTCAACTCCTCCTCCCCCCCCCCCCAAAAAAAGGGACATCAGAGAAGAGAGGGATAAAATACCCTGCTCCCAAAAGAGACTTGTGATCCTTCCCGAACACCTCTCAAAACTAAATTTCCAGGTTTTATTACTCTTCTGTACTTTTCAAACTTTTTTCATCTGCATCATACAAGGATAGTCATGGGTGCATTTTGCAAACCTGAAATACCGAGGGGAAAGACCCATGTACTTCCTGCTATAGCAAGAGTGACAAAGATTCAGAGGAGGAAGAAATTATGCTTTTAAGATCTGAGTTCCTCTCTTTTAGTATCATTGCCTCTGTGGTGTTCCCTACTAAATTGTGGGAGAATGCCAAATGGGAAAATTATTATTTTCTTTGAATATGATACAAATATCTGTGAACAATTAAAGAACAATTGTGTGAACAATTAAAAAAAAAAATCTGATAGAGGATAAATAATGTTTCAGATGAAGTTTTTACTTCATCCGATTCTATATAGTTCTAAATTAGAAAAAAATAAAGCACTTTTACAGTAGTGCTTTATCTGCTTTATAAGCTGGACATTTATATACCAACCATGTTTATGATAATTACCCAGTTTCTATGCTGGTAAACTATCTAGCTGTTTCTCAGATTGTTCTTTGACCTAATATGTTTAGAGGACTGTGTCTGACAAGCTTCCAAATTGTGATGGGATTTTTTGGTTTTTGTTCTCTATATTTTCTTTAGAAAGTTATCACTGATGTTTAATTATGAACATATAATATAAATAGTGTTAAGCTTCAAAAATTATTTATTGTTTGCAATTAGATGCAGAGATTACAATATATTTTAAAAAGCATAACCTCACCAATGACTAGGAGACCCAATACGTTACTTGATCTTGCTAAATAGCAAGTGAACAAACAAAAAAACTAAGATACCTCATCACAAAATGTACTTAGTTCATCAGATAACTGAAGTTTAGCTTTAAATATTAATAGATCATATGACAATAGGAAATGTAGTATTTTTTTAAATTAACAAAATCTTTATATAAGGCCTCACTAAAAGCGAGCTGGCTATTAAATCATTATTGAGCAGTGTGGGGAGATTGTTGTTTTGTATACAACAGTTGGACAGTGTGTGCTAATTAGCAAAGTTCTTCTCTATTACATCACAGTTTTGCTTTGAAAAAGTTCTTTCATACCTTTATACAAAACCAATTATTCTTATCCACCTGTTGACAGAGGCAGCTTCTTTGATGGATTAACCACACAGTCCATTTAAAGCAGTACATCTGCCTTTTGACAGACATGCATAATTCTTATTAACAAAAATGAGTATTGTGCTGTGATGGGAGAATAAACTCAGACTTAGACAGTAACCTTATATGATCAAAAGAGGTTCTCTCTGTCCATATTTTAAGTCTGTAGTGAAGGACACTGTTGGCCACACCTCATTCAGATGCCAAAGAACTTATTTATAGCTGAGGATTTCTTGTGCATGTATGTTTACTGCATTGCTCTGGTTGTGTGGAGAATTGGTTTAAAAACAGAATTTAAAATGGGGAAAAAAAGATGAGCAAGGCCTTATCTGTCATATCATCATAGAAGTGCCGAAATTACATGGAAAAGGAATAATCTGCTCCCTCTGCCTGCCAATGCAGGATTGCTCCCTTCATACAGTAAATTTACTAGTATAGCGTCCAAACTGTTTTAAAAAGGTCTCAAACAACTTGACTTCCAAGAGAATGTCATGAATTTTACCCCGATATTTAGCTTAAGTTTTCCTTTTCTTCTCCCTTTACATATATATCAAACAAAACAAAGAGAACAGTTATGTACCTTACAGGAACTGTGGTTTGTAATGTGTTGTCCACAGAGATCCCACGCTTGGAGTTCACGCATCCTGTGCATGCAAGATCAGATTCTTTTGAAAAATCAGTGTTCATTGGGGCCACGCCTGCACCCTGAATGCCCTCTATGCTCTCAGCTCTGGAGTGCAAAAAGGCAAGGTGAACACAAGCCATGCATTCTATTCCTTCATTGATAAGACTCCCATAGAAGTAGGACTCTGATCAGCAGGGAAGAAACCATTCTCTTCTTCAAGTGAATGTTATGTTGACTAAGTCAAACACCAAGGAGTTGAGAGTAGGGTGAGATAAAAAGGTATTTGGAGCCCTTGGCTGGAATTTTTCTCTCTTTTAATTAGTCTTCATACACATGGGTGCAATGGTGACAGGAATCTGCCAAATGTTATGGGCTGGTTACAAGACAGCATCATTGACAGGCAGTGCTAGTTTGCCCTGAGGTGTGGTGGGGAGGATATCCACTTGGGAGCATTGGAGCTCCTGTATTTCCTCCAAGTGAACCTGTAAGGTCTTGGCTATATTCTTCATCAAGTCCTAAAAAACTTTAAATTCAGCTGCGTAGGATCATGGAGAGGGTACGATAACTTCATGTAGAGATTACTAGGATCTGTTGGAAGGAGATACTTCCTCATTAGCTCTTGGCTGAGGTTTCTCCTTGAAGTTTTCTTGATAATGGAGGCTGCCTGGAGAAGAGGCTCATCTTGATGGGCCCACTTACAAAAAGACACCCCATAGAACTGGTCACGATAGAGAGGCCTAAATTACAGCTGCTGAGTGCTACTTTTATTGAATGAAAAAACACTAACAGTCTTACCTCATTGGACTATAACTAGAAGAAGAGAGAAAAGAATACGCAAACTATTGTTCAACTCTGCTGTAAATATATTTAGAGAGAGAGAAGAGCACCCAAGTTTTCAAACATGGTTCCCTAAAGTTCAGCAACTAAATTCATATTTATGCATCTACAGAGCTAGTCTGATTTTTATAGATAAGTAACATCCACAACTTTCATTGAAATTACTATCTGATGTGGGTGCTCAACACCTGTGAAAATCAAGCCACTTATTTAGGTGCCTAAGAATTGGAAAGATACACATATAGTATTATGCATATAAACTAACCTGCAGACACGGGCAGGAAAATACAGCTTCTGCCAGGACCGACAAAGATATTTAGAGTGATCGATCACGCGGATCCAGTCTAACTCGTCCATGGACACCTCAATGTAGTAGGAATAAGACCTGTGGATTGCCAAAAATAATAATTAGAATAGAAGCATTCAATATTTGTGAAATAACCTGCTTTCTGGAAGTTGGTGTCTATGTAAAATATATTTTCACAAAAGGGACCCATATCCAGACTTCTGTAAGGAGGCTGCATTACAAATCGCTTTAAAAATAAATTTTAATGTAATCATATGTTAAAAGATATTTTCAGAATGACATAAAATGACCAAAATAATAATTCCCAGTAATAAGATGAGCTAAATTTAAAACCAGCACTGCAATTATTTCTGCTGAAATATTAACAAGATATCAGAGAAAATTTAGTAGATCATAAATGTCAGCCTGAAACCCTTAACTGGAAAATGCAAGTTTATTTTGTGTGATAACATATTTTTCATTGATTTTCTTTATCAGTCTTGACCTAGTTAGGTACTGTTGCCTCTCTATCCATGTAATTATCTAATCCTTTTTTGAATTCTACAAAGTTTTTTACTTAGTTGGTTCATATCGTGTCACAATTAGTTCAATAGGTTATTTATGCATTGACTAAAAAGTATTTCTTTAGAAGCTTTAAATCTGTTGCCTTTCAGTGTTTACAAGGGAGAAAGAAAAAACCACAAATTCCAGTAGTCCTGAGCTGATGGAACTTTTGCTCAACAATAAAAGTTAAGCATTTAAACTAACAGGTCACTTCTTAAAATCAGTATATGTTATTCTGAAAGAACAATAACTACACTTGAGATTATAAGTGAGTTTATTTGAAAGAATTAGTAATGTTAATATTTTCTATTCTAAAATAATGAGAGTTGGTTACAAAAATCCAGTGGCAGGGTGACAATTTACTGACTGTATATTGTTAAAGACCTGGGATTAGTTTAACACAAGGATGGTCTACACTAGAAAATAATATCAAACCAACTACATCGCTCAGGGTGTGAAAAATCCACACATCTGAGCAATGTAGTTAAGTTGACCTAAGTCCCTATGCAGACAACACTAGGTTGACGGAAGCATTTCAATGTAGAAAAGCTCATCATTGTTGTATACTAAATGTAATACTCTGTGAAAAACAAAAGGCAAAAGGCAACTTTCCTCTTGCTTAACAGAATAAAGATATTTGCAAACAGCTGTATGATTTAGAGAACTATTAATAAAATAAAAAAACCCTTCCTGATAGCTAGTATTAAATTGATATATTTTTGCTAATAGAAAATAAGGCTTGGAATTTCCAAAGTTACGGTGTCACCCAACTGTTAAACTTGTGTGCAATTTGATTCTTTAAGAACATGAAGCAGCAAGAATAAAATGAGGTAGGGGGTTATATTAGTTACGTGGGCAGTGATAATTCAAATTTCACAAGTCTCCTTAAACAGGTCTCTAAGAACTATATTCATAACTTGGTAATCACCAATCTGGGCAATTTTACCACACATAGGTTACTGTCACAAACCTAACACAAACCGAAAGGTTTTTCATTAAAATGATATTATTTTAACCAAAAGAATTCATTTTAAAATTCTCTTGCAGTGTTGTGAACCGAAACACAAGAATATCATGTCACTGCAGGAGAACCAGAAAGTGAAACTGACCAGCCCAGTGTCATTATCTAAGTGCAAATGGGAAACATAGACAGCATAAATGGAGAGAAATCAACAGCTTGTTTAAAATTATGTTAATAATTTAAGCAGTTATTAGTAAAAGGAGTTTTATATATTTAACTAAAGCATGCAGATGACTAAAATAATAGTCATTTTAACACTGCAAAATGAAAGTGACTAGTTACATAAGTAACAAGTATGAAGCAAAAAACCCTCATAAGCCTATTCAAATGTTAAACATTTAAATTCAAGTTGTCAATGCTATCCCAACCATGATATGTTATTGAAACTGTGCAATTTATAGGCATTTAATAAAAGTTAATAATTTAATATTTTATCATTGAGGCAGGTGGGGTATAATCAGTTTTAATTTCTCTTAAGTCAGGGTGACTTGTCACATACCGGCTATCTCTGTCCCAGAGTAGTATTCGTATGTGGTTGATTATCGATGGCTGACCTAGTTTAATTTCAATGCCAGAACGGCAGTCATCATCAATCGGGTGTCGGGAAAAACCATGATCCAAGTCGTAATTCTGTGTGTCCCCATCTAGCAAAGCAGACTTCAGCTCCCCTTTAACAACCTGCGCTCCATATTTCATAGTTGCAATGTTCTCACCTGGTACTAAAAGGAGAAAGAAAGAGTTGCTTACCAGTTATGATTTTACAGCACAAACAAATTAGCAGAGATGATTTGGTGGCTACACAACCCTTCAGGTTGCTTCAGGGTTGTGTGAGCCTAATTCAAAGGCCAATGAAGTTAATGGGAATTTATTGGCTCAATGGTCTTTGAATCAGGGCCTACAAGTTGGGCCCCTTGTCTGCCAAAGCAGCAAAATCCAACCCTTGCCACAGAATTGTGCAACAAAATCTAGTCTTATCAAAATAGTTGGAGATAACGATCCTTAACTTCATTTGCAAAATACTGAGATATATGGTTGAAAAACATTGAGATAAAGTATTGTTGCTTTAAAAAAAAAAAAAAGTTTCTATCCCTCATAATTGTAAAGAAAATGCTGAAAACATGATCTGAATGCAAAATACTGTGTTGTCTTCCTGACTCTACAGACAGGCTGACAATAGCTTTTGGGTGTACATTTTCCCATTCATCTCAATGTGGTGTTAGGTCTAAAACCTAGATAATGTAGTTTAAAATGTCAACATTGACGAACCTGTTAGAAACACCCAGCTAAGATGCTGCCCCCATAATTACAAACAGCCTCTGTTGTTTCCACAAATGCCAAAAGTCCTACCTTTTATCCACCTGTCACAACCTCCAGCTGCACCCACCCCACACTAATTTTGTACAATGCATTTGTATTGTCAATACAAATATTTACAAGCATATTGAATACTAAACATGAGAGGACAGCATAAACATAAATTGAACTTAATAGAACAGGCTACTGTTTCCAGTATTACTTAAGTTCATATTTAATTTTTCAAACTTGTTAAGATTTAAATGAAGCTGCTGCAGAATCCATGGAGCTTGCTGCAAAATTTAGGTCCAGCTTGCTATTGAGTACATGGTGTCTCAGGCCATAAGGCTGAAACATAAGTATTTATTGACAGGAGGAAGGCTTGTGCAGAACAAGGCAGCCTCCACTTTGAGAGAATGTACATGGATCGGTTACAATCGTTGTCTTTCTATCCTGAACTGTTTGTGAAGTTTCTGGAAATCTGCCTATTCTCTGAAAGTAGTAATAATTAAGTGGGCTAACTCTAGACATTTCATGATGCATTATTTAATACTTTGAAAGTGAATAGTTTTCTGATGATAGTTTACAGTTTAATTCGAACTTAGTACTTAAGGAAAAGCCACAGGAATTCAATTCTTAAAATAGCTACATTACTGACAGGGTGAGAAATCATGAGCTTCGGTGCCTGCTATCAATAGCCAAGTGACTATAGAGAAAAGGAAATCAGCAGGCAACATCCAGGCTTTGTAAACTTCCATTTCATAGTACTATAAAAAGAATGCCACTTTATGACAAAATTGAAAAAAATCCCAACATGAATGCAGAGGATCAGTAAAGCCTGTAGTTTCCAAAGTGAAAAACCTGAAGGGACAGCTGCTAAAAAAAGCAGTTTTCCGTAACGGAAAGCTCATTCCCGCATGATTTAAGAGACCACAATACAGAATATTCTCTAAGAGTATTCAACATTATTCTCAACTGCAGTATAAATATTCTGTGCTATGTAACTGTTACTTTGTATCACAGAAATGTTTTTATAAAACACTTTGCCAACTGTAAAAGGTTAAAACCTAATTCACAAATAATACAAATAATCTAGTACAATGGTGGGGACAGGTTCCTATTACAGCAATCACAAGGGAAATGCTTTCCTCTCTTTTCATACGTAGAATGTAAACTCTCTGGTGCAGGGACTGATTTTCATTTTACACATTATGTGGGCAAACAATGTAAAGGGGAAGAGAAAAATCAGATACAGAATATTTTGAAACTAAACAGCAAAACTATTATTTTTATTACAAAATTAGCATTAAAAATCTGACAGATGCCTGCATTAAAGTTTGATTACTTTTTAGATATAAAGGTTCTACAAATGGTTTTCCTTGAGGAAAAATTAAGCATTTTGATAAAAATGCACTCTGCTGTAATTTACATGCTAAAACAACATCTAGACTATGAGAAGTTAACATATTTTCCTATTTAATGTTTGTCATCCCTGCCATTGCAATTCTTCAGAAAAAGAGCAAATGGAAGTTAGGAAACTATTCCAGCTATATTTTTCATTACTCTTTCTGCCTCCAGGGCCAGATAAAAAATTCACTCTCACTTAAAGCAATTTCAGATATTCTCAAGTGTTCCCAAGGTGTTGGATTTAGGCATTTTAATTTTATAGGTATTTTCCAATTAGTAATATACCACTCATTTCTACTGACAAATTACAAATCCATACATAAGGCCCTACCAAATTCATGGTCCATTTTGGTCAATTTCATGGTCATAGGATTTTAAAAATCATAAATTTCATGATTTCAGCTATTTAAATCTGAAATGTCATGGTGTTATAATTGTAGAGATCCTAACCCAAAAAGGACTTGCAGGGGGGAAGAAATTGCAACATTATTTGTAGGAGTGGTTGCAGTACTGCTATCCTTACCTCTGCACTACTGCTGGTGGTGGCGCTGCCTTCTGCGCTGGGCAGCTGGAGAGCAATGGCTGCTGGCTGGGAGCCCAGCCCTTAAGGCAGAGCCGCTGCCAGCAGCAGTGCAGAAGTGAGGATGGCATGGTATGGTATTGCCACCCTTACTTCTGTGCTGCTGTTGGCAGGGCACTGCCTTCAGAGCTGGGTGCCTGGCCAACAACCACCGTTCTCCAGCCACCCAGCTCTGAAGGCAGCACAGAATCAAGGGTGGCAATACCGCAACCCCCCTAAAATAACCTTGTGACCCCCTGCAACTCCCTTTTGGGTCAGGACCCCCAATTTGACAAACACTGGTCTCACCCGTGAAATCTGTAGAGTGTATGGTAAAAGCTACACAAAAGACCTGATTTCACAGGGGGAGACCAGATTTCACAGTCCGTGACACATTTTTTCATGGCTGTGGATATGGCAGGGCCTTCGCCATAGAACAGTTGTATTTTGAAAGTCCATCCCCAACAAGTTTAAAAAATACTGATGCTCACTTAGCATGCCCCTGTAGTTGAGGTCCATGTCCCGACTTTCAGAACGAACTTTAATGGCATCCAGAATGGCATCAGGCGACAGCAATCCAGAAGGTCTTACAACATTTAGTAGTTCTGTCAGACTCATCAGGGGTAAGCGTACTGCCTGCATGATTTCAGCATGATTCTCCTTGGGGTTATGTTTACACCAGTTCATCAAAGCCTGGAAAATATCCTTCTCAGGTGCTGCAAATGAATCCCTCAGCACAACATTTAGAAGAGCAGCCTAAATAGAGAACATCCAAGAAAATTCATGTCTAAAACATAGCAAAAATTAACAGATCTTTAACTGGTAAAGCTATAAAAGCTCTTTCAAAACTTGATTATACTAGTGGGACAGTGACTCTGTAGACAAACATTATAGCCATTAACTAGCTCAGATGTAGCCAGGGCATTAAAAAGTATTTTACTGAGAAAAGGAATTTTGGTCAGGACCTTGGTTTAATGCCTATCCAGCAGATGGCACCTCTAACCGAGCAACATCCCCAAAGGAGTGAATGCCCTGCACTGTCAGATCAAAGTATAAGGCAAAGTCCTCATACTTGAATCCTAACCTTCTTGGTCAGAGGCGAAACCACTACTGACTCACTATGATACTCTTACTGAGCAGCCTCCCTGGCCTTTCGGTTTTTATTTTGAGTATTGTATTCAGTTATAGCTTACTTGCTTTTACTCATTTTAATCACTTATGCAAGAATTCTAGATTTTCTGCTTACATAATAGGTTACGATTATACCACCACCACCACCAGAACAAGGCTTAGAGTGTGTAAGTGTGTCAAGCCACTCAAATTAATTGTATCCCAATGTACTTTAAACTCTCAGTGCTGATGGGTCAAGGAGTAAATAAAGGTGATTTTTGGATTTGGCAGTTTAGTGGGCTGCTAAAGTAAAATGTTGGTAGCACACCTTTGAACTTAGCTATATGATCACTGGTGTGAAAATTAGATGAAGGTTTTATATCACCCACTCCAAGCTCTTTCCCTCCTTTCGTTTTTGGGGCCAAGCTGCACAAAAAATTCACATAGCTCTATCTCCTGGACAGAAGCACAAACACGCACTGATTGCAAAATGAAATCAACCAGAATTGAACAACTTTTTGCATTTTCACTTTGCAGCCAGTATAAGTAGGAATGAGCCTTAGAACAAGGAAGTCCTCCTGCAGCACTGGTTTTCCCGCAAACTCCAGCTACTGGAAAGGAGGTAGCATGTTTCCTGGTCAAGGAGTCTGCTGTTTGTTCCATTCTACACTGATGTTATCTCCAATGCATTCTTAGTTGACATATTATATCTGGCATCAAGTAGTTAACAGTGAGGACTTCAGTGTCAAAAGGGTGGGGGAGCAATTATAATTTCCTCTGTAACCAGATACCGAGTTAGTTAGCTCTGTAAGGTCTCTGGTCTCTATTCATAGAATAGATGTTCTCATTAAACCTGCCAAAAAAGTCAGTGTATTTTTTACAGTAAAATGGACTTGAAATATTTTTCATACACGTTTTAATATCCCTTTATAACCACTCATTGAAAGCTTGAAACTGAAACTTGCATTCTTACAAAAAAAAATTCTGCTATTTCACATGCACCCTGGTTTGAGTGCTGGGTTACCAATACTGAGTTTTGAGGCAAATGAAACAATATGGGAGCATTTACTGCTAAAAAAAAAAAAAAAAAATCTAGGACTACATCCTCTGGTGCAGTGTAGCCACTTGGCACTGTACCATTGATGTATCCAGCCCAGAAGGCTCACTCTAGCGCATGGGGGAACTCCAGTGGCACAGAGCTACCACAGAGATTCCTATGCACATTCATATACTACCTCTAGTACAATGTAGGGTGTGTGACCAGAGAACAGGACATAACTAGAATACCCCTACACTGCAATGATCCACAATTGTGGTTTCAGCCCGTTGGGACAGTTAGCAGCTGGTGTAAATTGCAGCAGCCCAAAGGTTGCTCCAACTTATGCTGGGAGAATGATCCTTCATGTAGGAGCCCTAGGATCAGGAGAATGAACATAAACTGAGTTTTATGCCATCTTTGCAACTCCCTCCTCCAAACCTTTACTGCGTACACTTTGGCCAGGCTTCAAATGCCAGACTATACTGTTTAACGGACAGTGCAGACTTTACAAATATGTAAGAAAACATACATAAGAAGGTAAATATTTTGCTCCTACCCTTGACAATGTCCTGTTAAGAGTCATGTTTAACTTTTGTAATTGGTCACAGTTGACTAGCTCAATAGATATTACATTTAGGAATAATCTTTAGGTTCTCTTTATTACCACAATGTTTATAGAATACTACAAAGTATTAGTTATTCATCTCATCTTGACTTGAGTAACTCCAGCAATGCAATTTCACTGCTAACTGACCTTACTATTAAAGTTTCTTATTACTTGGCCTATACTTCTCTTTTCTTCGTTTCAGACCACTATTAGCATTTTATCATAGTGTTTTTTATAGACCACAACCAACATGTCTAAAAGAACTTGCAAAGACGCACCTTAGAAAGTGACAGAAAGCCTTCACTGGAGAGCACCTCTTGAGCATTTCTATCCATAAACATACAGCACATACAAGTCAGTTTAGGGAGTGAGTAGAGACTGGCAACATCAAAGGTCATACAAACATTCTGAATATTAAGTATGGTGCAAAGATACTCAGAGGTGGAATCCTCTAATTCTGGGAATCCATATTTGTGAGCCAGGCTCAGGAAATCCAGGAGTACCTCTTCCTTCTCATCTCTTAATGTAGCACGGCCTGTGTATATATATTTCAGCAGCATTGTAAATGCTTCTGCAGTGGTATCCTGAAGAGGGATTTCTGCTTCAGGCTGAGATTCTCTCATTCCACCATATAATAATGCTCTAGAAACAGAAAGAAAATGTGACAAACTTGCACCCTAATAATGGGTGCCTTATTATATATATTTAAACAGTAAAGTAAATAAATCAAGAGGCCTAGAGTGCAACCAAATGCCAGGTGAAAGAATAAATGAAGATATATTTGCAATGACTCCTCAGAAGAGGCCACATAAAATGAAAAAGAATCATTTTGAAAATTTGAAATGGAAGCTATGTGGACAACTTAAAATTCAGCTCTACTCTGATAGTGTCTACGTAGGAGTAGCACTGTGGGGTCTCTTCATCATTATCTCAATTATTCTACATCAAGTTTAGTCAGTTTACAGGTAAAAAGAAAGGGATGTGAGGTTTTTTGTTTTGTTTTTTAATTTCAGCTCTGAAAATTTACCCTGGGATCTGACAGTTAAGTTAGGTTCTTTCCTACTTACATATCACCACCAGCAATAATGAACTTTCAGACCAAATTATATCCTTAGTGACACCTGCACAGCCCCACTGAAAGTTGGGGAAGCAGAAGTACAGACAGGTGAAATGACTTGCTGACGCTCATATTATGAAAGAATAGCAGAACTGGCAACAGAACCCAGGAGTGTAAATGCCCATTTCCTTGCTCTATCCATTAACTGTAGCATACGACAGTCTTGGAGTCCTAGGTGATGAGACTTGTGAAGAATCAAAAAGTTTGCAACATGTTTTCTCTAGATCAGGGGTCTTAAACACGCGGCCCACGGAGCTCTTCCCTGCGGCCCGTGGAGCTCCCCACGCCCCACCCCGTTACTTCCTGTCGCTGCCAAACTCCCCTCACCCCCGCCCCCCGAGTTATTTTCTGTGCCTGTTAAGCTACCCGTGCGCTGCTACCCAATGTTTGGGGCACCTGCCACCCCCACGCGCCGTCCCCCCCGCCCCCCCGGAGTGTCTCCCGGCACCCACTTGCTGCCTCCTCACTGCCTCGGAGCCTGGAGCCTGCAGCACAAGGTGACTCAGGAGCCTGCAGCACACCTTGAATCCGCTCTGCTCTGCAGGCTGCCGGCTTCCGGCAGGTCCTAGTGTCCCTCTTCACTAGGGCCAGGGCAGGCTGCCCTTCCCCTGCCCTTCTGCCCTAGTCCTGAGCCTCTCTCTTCAGTGAGGTGCTGCCACCCTGGAGTCGCTCTAGGTAAGCGGCGTCAGGCCAGAGCCCGCACCCTGCACCCCAACCCACTATCCGGAGCCCCCTGCCACACCCTGCACCCCAACCCCCTGCCACATCCAGCACCCCTCCTGCACCCCACACCCCAATTCCCTGCCCTGAGCCCCCTGCTGCACACCTCCTGCACCTCAACTCCCTGCCCTGAGCCCCCAACACACCCCGCATCCCTCCTGCACCCTAACCCCTTGTCTGGAGCCCCTGCCACATCCCACACCCTCCCGCACCCCAACTCCCTGCTGCACCCCTCACCCCTCCTGCACCCCACACCCCAATTCCCTGCCCTGAGCTCCCGCCGTACCCTACACACCTCCTGCACCTCAACTACCTGCCCTGAGCCCCCATCACACCCCGCACCCCTCCTGCACCACCTGGGGGCAGAGAGGGGGCAGAGTTGGGGTGAGGACTTCGGGGTTGGAATGGGGGCAGGGAAGAGGTGGGGCAGGGGTGGGGCCTCATGGAAGGGGTGGAGTGGGGGCGGGGCAGGGGGCAGCAAGGGGTGGGTGTCAGTGATGCGGCCCTCGGGCCAATGCACTAGTCCTCATGCGGCCTTCGTGGTCATTTGAGTTTGAGACCCCTGCTCTAGATGATAGGTAATTTGTGCATTCTGTACACATACATCTTAGTTTAATCACTAGCCTCTCTGGCATTCATATGAGAGAAGAATTATCTTGAAATTTTACTATGTACAGTTTAAGAATGGGAAGTAGATCTGCTGTGTTAAAATGAGACATGAGTTTCAACCCAATTTTTAAAACATGCAATATTTTCCTAGGTCATATTGCAGCAGACAGAGCCTTTTCAATGAACAATTTCAGCAAGAAAGGTTAAAACTAAACATTTTTAATAAATAAGTTGTATACAAAATGGCAAATGACTGCATAGGAAGGAGTGCTGCGGAAACGGGTCTGGGAGTCATAGTGGACCACAAGCTAAATACGAATCAGCAGTGTAACACTTTTGTAAAAAAAGCAAACATCATTATAGGATGTATTAGCAGGAGTGTTGTAAGCATGTGTGACATTATTGACAAAATCTGTAACTGTATAGATCACTGTTGCAACCACTGTTATATATTTGCAGCAAATATTGTACAAAGGTTGTGGTGTGAGGTGTCCATGGGAAGGTTATGATTGGCTGGTTATAATTATGCTATCTGTATATGTGCATCATTTTGTAGTTGAAGTTATGAACATTGGCTCTATACTGTCTGTATTTCAAACTTATGCTATGCTTCTGGGTGACACCCCAGACAAGTTGGTGTCAACACTGCCTAGCCTGCTTGATGGCCCATTAAGGACCATCAGCTATACAACTGACCCATTGAAAGAAGGCAGACACAGCTTGTGACTCAGCAAGGTATGGAGGGACATGCCTATGGACAGAACTCTGAGGTTTTCCATGCCATGTGATGGACAGCTTGTCTTTGGGACAAAGAAAGCAGAGATCACATGGCAAGAGACTATAAAAAGTTGCTGCAGCTCCTCCATCTTGTCTTCAATCCTGCTTCTTACCTCTGGAGGGACTTTGCTACAAACGGAAGCTCTACACAAAGGACTGATGACCCATCCCAGCTGGGGATGTACTCCAGAGACTTGATTTGAACCTGCAGCTTATTCCATCATTGCTACAAGCCTGAACCAAGAACTTTGCCATTACTGTATGTAATTGATTCCATTTAACCAATTCTAGCTCTCATCTATATCTTTTTCCTTTTATGAATAAACCTTTAGATTTTAGATTCTAAAGGATTGGCAACAGCATTATTTGTGGGTAAGCTCTGATTTGTATATTGACCTGGGTCTGGGGCTTGGTCCTTGGGGATTGAGAGAACCTCTTTTCTTTTACTGGGGTATTGGTTTTCATACCATTTGTCCCCATAACGAGTGGCACTGGTGGTGATACTGGGAAACTGGAGTGTCTAAGGGAATTGCTTGTGTGACTTATGGTTAGCCAGTGAGGTAAAACCAAAGTCTTCTCTGTTTGGCTGGTTTGGTTTGCCTTGGTGTGCACAGAAACCCCAGCCCTGGGCTGTAACTGCCCTGCTTTAAGCAATTTGTCCTGAATTGACTCTCTCAGTTGGGTCCCGCCAGAACCAGAATTGTTACAGCATGACACCAGAACTAATTCTTCTACTCCATGCTAATTAGATCTCAACTGGAGTACTGTGTACAGTTCTGGGTGCACATTTCAGGAAAGATGTGGACAAATTGGAGAAAGTCCAGAGAAGAGCAACAAAAATGATTAAAGGTCTAGAAAACATGACCTATGAGGGAAGATTGAAAAAATTGGGTTTGTTTAGTCTGGAAAAGAGAAGATTGAGAGGGAACATGATTACAGTTTTCAAATACATAAAAGGTTATTACAAGGAGGAGGGAGAAAAACTGTTGTTCTTAACCTCTGAGGAGAGGACAAGAAGCAATGGGCTTAAATTGCAGCAAGGGAGGTTTAGGGTTGGACATTAGGAAAAATTTCCTACCTGTCAGGGTGGTTAAACACTGGAATAAATTGGCTAAGGAGGTTGTGGAACCACCATCATTGGAGATTTTTAAGAGTATGTTAGACAAATACCTGTCAGGGATGGTCTAGATAATACTTAGTCCTGCCACGAGTGCAGAGGACTGGACTAGATGACCTCTTGAGGTCCCTTCCAGTCCTATGATACAAGCATGTTACCTGTATTTACACTTTTACTTTACAGAGGAAACCAACATCATATTTACATCATTCCATTTGTGTTCTGAAGTTTATTTCTTTTTAATCTGTAAATTGAGAGCTCAATTTAATGACAGTCAAAAACATTATGATGTCATGGTTTTTTCCAGCTTTTTACAGTTGGCCACAATGCTTTGATGCACTGAGAAGCATTCACACAAGAAAGGTCATGTTCAGTAAATAGCAGATTATGGGAGTATTTCTCTGAACTTCCCAGGGTATATTTCATACACAAAGTTTCCTGTAAACTGGACAAGAAGCAATACATCACCTGAAATAATGGCATCTAGCAGCCAGAATCACTCTATGTGCAGGAAAACGTTTCTTTTCTACAATAAAGGTAACATCACTATACTCCTCCCCATTCATCAGAGCGCCAACATTCTCTGACAAAATGTGAACATGGTCAATTTCCCCCACAGCTGTGTAAGGACGGAGTGGGTGACTATTACTCATCTTGATGAAGTGATGGTATTGGCAGCCTATAGGAAGAAAGAAAAGAACTATAAGCATTTTTAAAACTGGATACTGAAACTACCTCAGAGAACAAGTTACAATTATAAAAAAGCTAATATAGATGAATTTAGACAATTACAAGGGATAACAATTATTTAGTGAGGATTTTACTAAATCAGTTACAATGGGAACCCACCCAACTTGCTTCAAAAATTATATTTCAGTTTGATTTCAGATATCTCCACCATACTTTTATTCTGCCAATGCATCTGTTCTAAATCAACAAGATGCCATTAATCAAATCAAAGTAACTGAATGGGCTGTAAAGCTTCTGCACTTCTAAATGATTCACAAAAGACAAAACTCTCTATATATTAAAATTAGCTGACTGACCAAGGAGAGAGAAATCATTATCTGAGTAAACAGGCTTAGTCTAAATACACCTCTACCCCGATATAACACTGTCCTCGGGAGCCAAAAAAATCTTACCACGGTATAGGTGAAACCGCGTTATATCGAACTTGCTTTGATCCACCGGAGTGCGCAGCCTCGCCCCCCCAAGAGCACTGCTTTACCACGTTATATCCGAATTCGTATTATATCAGGTCGCGTTATATCGGGGTAGAGGTATACTGAAATCTATGCTAAAGTGTTTTCATCAGTAATTAGCCGGATTATGGGTGTTCATGACATATTCTGACTGGATCCAGATTAATTTACTAGAACTGAAATAATTAGTGATTCTTAATGACTAACATATGAAGACTGTTCTGATAGCAAAGTTCTAGCAGGCAGAGATTCCAGTAAATCCTTGAAAGACTTAGAGGACTCCACTGGGAAGCCTTCTCCACTAAGTGTATTTTCAGACTGAAGAGGCTTTATGAGAAAAAAAGACCTGCTCTTCAATTGCAGAGTCTAAAAGATCTCTTGAGGGGAGAAATGGCATTTACAAGGCATATGGTTTAGCTATTTATTTCACTCAGTTTGTGTACCCATGTGGTGTATAATTTGAAATAGCATTCCTTAAACTTCAAATATCACTTGGGGAGAGAAATAAAATTCTGTCTACATTTAAGCAGAAAATATACCTCTGAATAATTTCTTCTCACCTAACAGACCAGAAACCTACCCCACTTGACTCTCTGGCCATATACTTTACCTCTGGAAATCCACAAGCTTAAACTGAACATGCAGATAACCATAAAGGGTGATATGTCCTTGACTTCATTAACATTATTATAGGAAATTTCAATATTATACCATAAATTAAGGTGGTAATGGCCATTCCATTCTAAGCCTCGATTGTTAGTCTCCTATAACTTCCCCAAAAAACGTAGGGGAGCAAAATTTATTAGATTTGTGTGTTGAGTGTCCTCAACCATCAGGCTTCAGGAGGCATTCAGTTCAGAAATTTTTGACTAATTTTTTTTAAGTTATTTTCCCTCTTTGATACCCTTTTGGAATGTCCTTGTTCGCTGAACGTATCCAAGAAAGCGGCACCAAAACACAAGCCGCAATATTTGTGATAACACAGATTGATATATTCTGGGATACCTTCTGTGAACCAGGAAGTACCAAAATGATTTCACAGAGGGGACAAGGGAATTTTAAAAGTTAGTTAAAGTTTATTTCATACAAGTACTGTAGTGCAATCTCTTTATCGTGAAAGTGCAACTTACAAATGTAGAATTTTTTTTGGTTACATAACTGCACTCAGAAAAACAATGTAAAACTTTAGAGCCTACAAGGCCACTCAGTCCTACTTCTTGTTCAGCCAATTGCTAAGACAAACAAGATCGTTTAAATTTACAGGAGATAATGCTGCCGGCTTCTTATTTACAATGTCACCTGAAAGTGAGAACAGGCATTCGCATGGCACTTTTGTAGCCAGCATTGCAAGGCATTTACATGCCAGATATGCTAAACATTCGTATGCCCCTTCATGCTTCAGCACCATTCCAGAGGACAGGCTTCCATGCTGATGACACTCGTTAAAAAAATAATGTGTTAATTAAATTTTGACTGAGCTCCTTGGGGGGGGGGGGCAGAAAGAAGAATAGTATGTCTCCTGCTCTGTTTTACCTGCATTCTGCCATATAATTCATGTTTTAGCAGTCTTGGATGATGACCCAGCACATGTTGTTCGTTTTAAGAACACTTTCACTGCAGATTTGACAAAATGCAAAGAAGGTACCAATATGAGATTTCTAAAGATAGCTGCAGCACTCAACCCAAGGGTAAGAATCTGAAGTGCCTTCCAAAATCTGGGAGGGACGAGGTGTGGAGCATGCTTTCAGAAGTCTTAAAGAGCAACACTCCGATGCGGAAACTACAGAACCTGAACCACCAAAAAAGAAAATCAACCTTCTGCTGGTGACATCTGACTCAGATGATGAAAATGAACATGCGCCAGTCTGCACTGCTTTGGATCGTTATTGAGCAGAACCCATCATCTGCATGGATGCATGTCCTCTGGAATGATGGTTGAAGCATGAAGGGACATGTGAATCTTTACCGCATCTGGCACGTGAATATCTTGAGACACCGGGTACAACAATGCCATGCGAATGCCTGTTCTCGCTTTCAGGCGACATTGTAAACTAGAAGTAGGCAGCATTATCTCCCGGAAATGTAAACAAACTTGTTTGTCTGAGTGACTGGCTGAACAAAAATTAGAACTGAGTGGACTTGTAGGCTCTTAAGTTTTACATCGTTTTATTTTTGAATGCAGTTATTTTTTGTACATTATTCTATATTTGTAAGTTCAACTTTCATGATAAAGAGATTTCATTACAGTACTTGTATGAGGTGAATTGAAAAATATTTTTTGGGTTTTTTTACAGCACAAATATTTGTAATAAAAAATAAAGTGAGTCCTGTACTCTTTGTGTTCTGTGTTGTAACTGAAATCAATATATTTGAAAATGTAAAAAACATCCAAAACTATTTAAATAAAGGGTATTCTATTATTGTTTAACAGTGCGATTAATCGTGATTATTTTTTAAATCGCTTGACAGCCCTAATTATAATGGTGGCAGATCTAGAATCTATATACCCATCAGGATTTCCACATCCTACATTTCAAGGAGTCCCTGCTGTTCATTTGAATTATTACTCTTAAGAGTAGAGCCAGACGAATCTCACCAGAACTGGTATAGATCTTCCTGCTACTTTCTCATCATCATCGGAAGCTAGGAGGTTCATACATGGCAGTTTATGGTGCAGCAGGATATTAGCTTTTTTTCCCTAATCTGTTTACTTCCATTTATCTGCCCTACACTCTATTACATCCTCCTTTCCTTTTGAGATGAGTGTGTGGAGGGATGTGACCAAACACACACAATGGGTTAATTTTTCTAGGTGTGTTTGAAATCAAGTTGACAGAAAAGATTCATCTGGCTGTACACTAACTTTATTTCCAACAGCTGTAGATGCTGCCTACACTGGTAACTGAGTGGGTTAAAGACCAATAGCCTTCATCTCAAGTCAAAATAGGTGAAAAGCCTCTGGATTAGCAAGTGGTAGTTTGTACTCCCCCAAGAATCAATGTATAGCAGTGATACTCAGACTGAGACTCACGATCCGCAAGTGGCCTTTTAATGTGTCTCCTGCAGCAATGTTTAGCACATATTAAAACACTGTGCGATTTAATTATTATCCAATCCAAGTTATTAACCAATCAGGATGCTTTTACTATGTTATTAACCAATTACAGTTGATAAAATAATAATACTTGGTCATTTTGCTGTGAGAATTTTATATATAAAAACCAACTAAATATTTCCCATCATACTGTTTAAATATGAATATATAGTACTTTAGTAAATGCGACGGTGAATTCACACTACTGTGGCTCTTTTGGGTAATATTGACTGCTAATTTGGCTCCTGAATGACTGACGTCTGAGTATCACGGGTGTATAGGATGATAGGTATAATCTGGTTTGGGGAATATTTCTGGGAGGCTTCGCCATTTAGCGAATAGATGGGATTTGCCCTCTGAAAGGCACAATGTTGTGCTAGTCAAGAGTATGGACTACAACTATGCTGATTGCTGGAGATGTAGAGTTCCAAGAAATGGATTGGTTACTGGTGTGGGAGCTTTTCAAATTCTGTAGCAACAAAGGATTGAGATGACTGATAACTTGATATAGATCAAGTTTTGGGGGTTTAGAATTTACCTTTCAACCTCGAGTAGGGCACTGTAAGATAATAAAGCTGGTTTGAAACAGAGGTTCTGGTCACATTCAGTGCATAATTTGTTTGGAATTAGGCCAAGTACAGATATTATTTAATCATAAATGGCACTGCCTGATCATGCCTGCATTGCAGAGACATTGCAGGAAGTTGCCTATGATGCTATATTGGCTGATCTCTGCCCTGCTGGTTACTTCATTAGATATAAATCCAGGCAGGGTCAGTGACGGTGTGTGCCCATACTTTTTAATTTTAAGATGCAGCGCAGGAAGTGATTCACCCTTCAAAATGAATTTGAATACACCCTAGTATTAAATTAATCTAGAGATCAAGGTGATATACAGGCCATCTTACAACTCTAAGATTTTTCTCAAGATGATTCAGCTTTGCATTACAGCCATCAAAACTAACAGTCCTAGGTGATGTTACTGCCAAGGATGACTCGTATGCAATTTTGCAATCTCACCACTTGCACAACAGCTACAAGAGTACCCAAAGCAGTTTCAGGCACAAGCTGTATCAGTCAGCACACTTTTAATTTGATATTCAGAATTGGTTTGGAAACTAAGAACATAAGAATGATCATACTGGTTAGACCAATGGTCCATCTAGCACAGTATCCTCTCTTCCTACAGTGGCCAGTTTCAGATACTTCAAAGAGAATGAATAGAACAGGACAATCATCAAGTGATCCATTCCCTGTCATCCACTCCCAGCATCTGCCAGTCAGAGGCTGAGGAACATCCAGAGCATGAGGTTGCATCCCTGACCATCTTGGCTAATAGCCATTGATGGACCTATCCTCCATGAACTTACCTAATTCTCCTTT